GTTGATGTTCCGCTAGCGTCTGTCTCGCGTTTCGCGAAAAATCCTTCCATCAGATCCCTTTGAAGACTATATCTGAACGATATGGGTGAGAACTTTGGTGCTCCGTATGCGGAATACCCGAACTATGCGAACCTGGGAAATGAATTCAATTGTGACTGGGCCGTTCCTGAATACCCGCAACCTTCTCCTTTCGATATCAATACCGAAGTCCCTGCTCGTGATGTCCGTGATTATCCTTCATTCAACACAAGCGACCGCGTGAATGCTAAGGTGGCTATCCCCCGAAATGCACAACCCAGTAGTTGGACTAGCAGCGGTCGAGTCAGTCGAGCCTGTGAAAATTGCCGTGAACAAAAGGCCAAATGTAGTGGCCATCGCCCAGCCTGTCATCGATGCCTGGATGCCAATGTGCCCTGTTCGTATGGCGACCGGAAAAGAGAGAAGATGGTGAAGTAGGTAACCTTTTTCAGTCTCAATACTTGTCTCTAACAAGTGATAGGCAGCTGAACGATCTAACTACACGGGTTGAAACCTTTGATACTTTGCTCCGCGATATTTATCCCAAGCTGGATGCCTCGTCGGCCCATCGGGTCGATGAAACACTGAGGGTGTTAAACGCACGCACTCCGCTCAGCCAAGTCATCTCCCCTACCCCTACCCCTGCCTTATTCACCAATCCATCAAGCCATATCAATCAATCAGTGCTTTCTTCCCATGCAGATGCTACTCCTATATCTATTCCCTCGGGGGCTGTAGACTACACCGAAGAGGACTTCGATCGTGATGAGAAAGTACAGGCGATGGGATTTGTGGGCGAACATTCGGAGGTGGCATGGTTGTACAGACTCAAACGCGACCTTGACCATAACAGCTTGAAAGGAATCAAAAAGACCCCCGAACGCCCTTCGATCTCTTCCGTGAACTACTTCCAAGATGACTCGGACATTTCGGCTCTCGACGATATCGATCTCGCATGCCGGCCTCCGCAACAAACCGCTAATAGGCTCGTCGACACCTACTTTCACTTCGTGCATCCTACCTTTCCGATTATTGGAAAGGCAATCTTTCTGAATCAGTACCGATCCTTCTATGCGAATCCGAACGCGCGACCTGGGAAACGATGGATTGTAGTGCTGAACCTGGTGTTTGCCATTGCGACCAGACACTCCTTCCTCATTGATCAGCCTCAACCAAACTGCGATGACCATCAGACTTATTTTGCACGGGCGTGGAGGCTGAATGTAAGTAACGTGCTGCTAGATCATCCCGACTTGCAGCAGGCACAAGTGGAGGGCTTGGCTGCTTTTTACCTTCTATCGGCTGGCCAAATTAACAGGTTGATCTTCCCCTTTCCCTCCCTTGCGTATATCTGCTTAATACATATCTAACTGTGGGACTTGCTCATCTAGGTCGTGGAGACTCATTGGAATTGCGATTCGATCGGCGGTGACCATGGGTCTAAACATTCGAAGCGAGAGCGAGAGCATCACCCACTTTTCAAAAGAACTTCGATATCGGGTTTGGTGGGCGCTGTTTATGTTGGATATGGTGCTATGCGAGATGACAGGCCGTCCACCTAGCACCGAGGACATTTTTTGCTCCACGCCCCTCCCTGTCCCCTTTGCAGAGGAGGACTTTCGGGATACACGTGTCATGCAATTTCTTACCGACGGAAGCACTCGAAGTGCATTTTTCACCTCTTTACTTTCCGATAGGGCTGCTTCACCAAAAGAGAGTACGATTCTAAGAAACCCGGAACAGCAAGAGCCCGGCAAGGGGAAACAAGAAGAAAGAGCCAGTCAGACGGGGGCCGAGAATCTGACACCCAACTCGCCTCTGTACTTTCTGTACGCAGTGGACATGGCTCATCTCTTACGGGACGCTATTAATATCCTTTATGCTCCTCGAGCATCCCGACGGTCATGGCATGAGATTGAAATCGCCATTTCCACACTAAACAAGAATGCTGACAGCTGGTTGTCTCGTCTCCCAGCAGAGTTTAACTTCACAAAGCTAGACACAACTCATCAATTTCTACAGCAGCGTGCTAGTCTCGCTTTCCAATTCTACGCCACAAAGCTGATAATCTTGCAGCCCTGTATCCGCCGTCTACCCCAACAGTCATCTGAAGCAAGCTCCCCGGGAACAGTGCGTGGTCAGATGGCAGTCTTGTGCGCTCAAATGGCAGGTCAAATGCTCGACCTGCTGCCCGAGGAGACAGACTTGGCTTGGCTGTATGGCGTCGCTCCATGGTGGTGCATCCTGCACAACATCATGCAGTCGACTACTATCCTCCTCACTGAGCTGTTCACTCGCACTCATATAAACACCACCAAGGCTGTCGACATCGCTAAGAAGATCGACAAAGCAATCCGCTGGTTGAAAATGATGTCGGCCAAAGACCTTTCTTCACAGCAAGCCTGGCTTGTCTGCATGGGCCTCCTTTCACGGCATGGCTCGAAGTTTGGGCTCGGTGTTGACACCGATCTCTAGGCACATGCATTCTTAAACTTGTCTCATGTAGTTATGGAGTTTGATATATACCCCCGGCTTGATTGCTGGGGGAAAGTGGCCTCAAGCGACGCATCTGCTTTTGCCTGCTGGCTTTAACGACATATACCATGCAAATTATCATCCATAACGCGTTCCTTGTCATGCTGGAAATGCTTGTTCATTTGATGCCTCATTTATGATTTCGGTTCATCTTCATCAATGATTTTGGCTTGCGTCTTATTCTAACAGTTTTATGTCTTCATAAGATTGTGCCTTGCATTTTCTCACCAGAATATTTCTCCGTACACACGATAGAGCATCTTGATCTGAATACCACCTTCCAGCATTAGAGTATCGAGTCAATTGTCAACTCCACTCAGACTAGAACAACCAAGTCTAGAACGTGCATATCATCATAAATATGTCATTGCCCTAGCCAACCTTAATCAGAACTCATGACATGTATATATATTCTCCGCCTCGTTGAAGAACGTATCAACAGGATGCAACAGGCCAAGGTCGATATCTGACTGCGCCAGGAAATCTTGCATGGTCGGCTCTAGAAACGCCATTTCGGTCGTGTACCCACTGACGGTGTCCCTCAAGGGATAGGCATATGCATCGATGCCATGGCTGTGAACAGGCGCTGTGGTGGCCGAAGCAAGGACATGATGTGTGGCGGGTATTAACGAGGGTGCGGGTATAGAAGTCGATTGGTTCAGTGCCAAGGTGTTCAAAGAGGGAGTAGTAGCTGCTAAATCCGACGAAGACCCGGACAAACGTAGCGCACCAGCACTAGAGGGAGCATTACCACTAGCATTAGCACTGGTATTACATGTAGAAGCCACTCCTCCAGCAGCCACATCGGTACTCCCTTCGAACCGGCTCAATCCCCGATACGCAGCCAAACAAACCTTCACCTGCTCGAGATTATGATAGAATTCCGCGGCAGCCAAATTCCCATTCTCGGTCATGGAGCGCAGCAGATCCAGCGCGGAGTCGAACCCGGTCATATCAGTCGGACTGCCGATCGGAACAAAGCTAGACATTGCCAAGATCAACGCCGAGGAGAAGAGGTAGTGGGCGTGGAAATAACCGAAGGTCGGCATGGACCCGTTGATCCACCGTGTTAGGATCATGGAATGGGAATGCCTTGCTGCATGGATACATGCTTCGCTTAGGGTAAGGACGGGCTGGGAAACGGATACGTCTTCGCTCTCCCTTTCGGTCTCGGCCCCACTGGTATTATTGGTATCGCTATGGGGTTTGCTTTTTTTACTTAGTGTGATCAGGAGGTGCAGTAACGTTGGGCGCGTAGTTAGGATGACGCATTGGTTGAAGGCCATGTGGAGGGAGACGACGGGTTTCTTGCTCGATTCCAGATCTTCCATGTTCAGTCTGAGGGATTCCGGGAGTGTTTCTACCCAGTTTTTCAGGGCTTTGAGGAGTCTCTGGACGCGCTGGAGGAAGGTCTCTTGGTACCCTCGCCGGCTGTATAGTCGGGTGATTGTCTCGCCGACTATGCGTGCCAGCTTGATGTTGGCGGTCATGTATTCCGAATCGGAGAGTTCTTCTTCGTGACGCCAGCGCGGGGAGATGGTTGATGGCATGTCGACGTGGATATCTTCATCGAGGATTTGCATTGGGAGACCCATTTTGGACCCCCACATCCGGTCGAAGATGTAGATTGTCCACCATATTTGGATGCGGTGTTGGCGCTCCACTGGGTCGATTAGCTGTGATTCTGGGATATTGTGGTTCAAGCCGATGGTCAAACCCATCCGCATGGCATTTCCGATCAGGATGTACGCAGAATGGCGCCGGTTGAGATAGTATGAAAAGAGAGACTTGGGATATGGTAAGTACTGTGACGTCGAACAATAACCCATGCCGAGCCACATACCAACAATAGCAGTGTTTCCAAGTGTGTAACACTGGTTCTCTCCGGCAGGATCTGGACCAACCCCATTGATCGAGCAAAGTATGACGTGCCTGGTACCCTGGAGCCAGAATTGGGCTCAGATCGGATTGAATACGCCTGGCCGAAGGCGAACAGGGCGAAGAATTTACACTTGTTAGCCGTGCAGTCAAAGTCTTGTGTCTGGTAGATCTCTTCGAGTTTATCTAACGTCGACTTGCGCATCATGAGGTGGTACAGATGTCCGATCTGGTGAATTGCTATCCGGACTAGCAACCGAGCATGGTGAAGACTCGGCCACTGGACATCGGCTTCGTTCGCTGCGGCGATTGTCTCTTCGCGCTCATACTGTGTTCGGGGAATATGTGGCATTGCGCTATTCCCCGACAAGAAACGCCGAAACCTTGTTGCGAATGCTGAACATGCTGCCTCGCCGATGTAGATGGGTGGCGAAGAGGGATCATACCGGTGGAACCAGGCTCGATCTCCAATCAATGGATTCTGAATACCCGTTCCGTCAGGGACATCTGCTGTCTTGGAAGGGCCTCTGTTGTGCATCTCAGTATGTTGTCGGTCATCATTTGCAAATTGAAGGGATGTCTACCTCTGCGATGGATCGTTGTTATCGGCAACTTGAGCCGAGGTGGTCGACCGTTCCTTGAGCCGCTGATTCTCTGCAAGGATCTGCTCTAAATAGCTGATTGGAGAAGACGGTTTTAGTTTCTGGTCCTGCCCGTGTGATAGACAAGCTTTTTAAAAAGGCCTGGTCTAATAATAACCTGTGGCTTGGTTGCATACTTCTCACTAACTTTCACCTGGCGGTCCCGAGTAGCGTAGGCACATTCATCAACGAGTCCTACCGTGCGGCATTTGATACATGGCTGGTCTCCGGAACATTTTATTTTATGCGAGTGGCATCTTTGACAGCTGTTGATGCCGTGCGTCAGTGCTTGGTGGCTTCGGCGTGAAGTATCTGGAATACGCACGCAACAAATTTCCTTCTTTGGGTCTCCCGGACTTGCTGCTCTGGCTCTTCTGTAAGAGCACGCCTTTTTCGTGCCATCTGAACAAATCCCCTTATTTTCGGGCTTTTCAGATTGCGCAAAGGAGAAAATCGTCCGGATGCGGTCGGAGATTCGAAGTTCTTCCCCGAGCACTCGGCAATCTGGGGATTTGGCCGAGTTCAAGCTGACTAATCGATAAGCTGGCCGGCCCAAGTCTGAGGTGAGCATAAACTATTGTATACCGAATTAGAAACGAAGAAAGTGTCTTTAAACGTTTTAAGATATTGGAGTCTCTATATGGTCAAAGACTTTGGTATCAAATTCTATACTATATTTCACGAGATCATCGGGTTATGCCTGTCTATCAGGATCTATAAACCAACTCTATCATGCAGGCATTTCCATGATGCAAAGAGACACAAATGCAAATAGGAAAAAGCGTCATATCGTTGTCGTCAAGACTGTGCATCGAGGCTGAACTTCCTTTCAGACCATCGCTGCATATCAATGCCCCATTTTGTGATAGCAAGCACAATGAAACCACCTGTTATAGCAAAGAATACACCTGAAAGGATGGTTAGATATGTCTCAACCATAATCCCATTATGAAAACTCACAGATTGTAAAGGTCCATCCTACTCCAATAGCACCGATTACCGGCTCAACAGCCGCCGTCGCTGCGGCAGCAAAGACATACTGCACCATGTACTTTGCGCTGATGACCTCCGAACGAGCTTGCGGCATGACCTCTGGACGATAAATAGTTAGTTGGGAAGTAGGGCAAAGGTTCAAAGATATAACACTAACCAGCCGAATAAGTATTCAGCCCATTGAAAGCACCCAGAAGCCCTACGCCTGCGAAGAAGGCGGCGATGATCGGCACAACCATACCGCCCACTTCTTCCTCTAACGTCCAGCAGTAGATTAAGGTGGCACCTGGGAGGACCCCGAAAAGGGTGGCAAGACCACTGTTCAGCCGGTCCTGAGGCAGGCGCACCCCGTTTCGTTTCAGAATCCATTTCTTCACGGCGTGGTCGGACAGCTTCCCGCCAACGACACTACCGATCAGGAAGCCTATTCCTGGGGAGAGATAGAATAGGCCGCTGACGAGGGGAGATGTTAGGTTGAAACGTGGATTGAAGATTGAACGGGCTGATGTGAGAAGTGCGTATTGGAATGTAGAAAGAAGGCCGCATGTGAGGCACTGTTGCTTGTTAGTCAATTATGGAGAAGGTGCAGTATCGGTACTGGTAGATATTGCTTACTGCAAGAAAGATATTGGGATACACGAATTGACGAAAGATACGCATAGGGTTGAACATGCTTATAAGAGTGCAAAGCTTGATGGGTTCGTCAGAGTCCCGGTTCTTCTCTTTGATACTTGGCACAAAAAGAAGAGACAAGGCGAGGCCGAGTAAAGTCATCGCGAATTGCAGCCAGTAGATAATGCGCCATTGAGCGAATGTGACGATAATGCCGCCGATACAGGGTCCTAATTGTAAATTTAGCCACTGAAATACGACAATAGGTATAGAGATAGTGACAGCATAACATACCGATTGCAGGTCCACTAACAGATCCAACCATAAAGCAGCCGACAGCCGTTCCACGTACAGTCTATCAACTCCTATCAATAACCCGAACACAATCAAATAAGACCGACATACCGGTTCAAATATATCCGCAAGAATAGTCTGCCCAGCGACCATGAAGAAGGTACCCGTAAAGCCCCCCAAAATGCGCATTGCGATAAACATATGCAAATTGATCGCCGCGGCGGTACCGGCCGAGCACGCACAAAGCACAAGGATAGCTGCATTATAGGCATTGCGACGCCCAAATAAGTTGGTGATAGGACCCCAAATAAAAGACGAGAAACCCATAGCAATTAGCACGCCCGCGTTGGTGACATTGAGGATCTCCGATGTAGTAGAAAACTCAGTAGCGATCTCTGGGGTTGCGGGCAATAGTGAAGTACTAGAGAATGTGACAGCCAGGGTCATCCAGCTGACGATAAAGAGGATGAGGCATTTGCGCCATGTTGGGATGCCATAGGCATTTGAGGACTGGGGTTTGAGGGTCAGGTCGTCTTCTGATTCTGAGTCGTGAGGAGAGTCGACCTGAGTTGGTTTTTGGGCCTCGAGATCTGGTCTGGATTCCATGGTCGGGTGAGATTAGATGGTATATAGCCGATATAAAAGATTTATTGAAAATTTCCGCATGTCTAAATTAGTGAAATGACACAGAAAATAGTCAGGATCAGGTGGACATTTTGTATGGAAGACCCCTCGGCATGTTGAAGCTATCGCCGAATCCTTTTTTTTTCCCTGGAGTACTTTTCTCTCCGATGTGGATCTGACAGGGCTGTCGGCGTGAGTGGCCGACAATTTCATTCTGAAGACGCGAGTCAATTCAACAATAGTTCGGGGATAACAGGGACGATCCCAAAGTGACCTGTGAGGTTGAAGTTCATGTGCCATTTCTGGCTTTGGACACCTGAAATATCAAGCCTTTGTTTATCTCCCGCCGATTTGACACCATTCGACAAAACACGAATTCAAGATTGTCATTTCAGTGCCATGTCTCGTGTGTTCTAGGTACCGAAGACGTTAGGAATGGATACTCGTGCTTTATGTGCTTCCATACTACGCACCGAACACCCCACAACTGACCCAGGGCCAAGCTGACGCGTCCCCACGCAAGCTTTACCCTACTCGTACAAAGAGCTCGGCAAAAGAGCTTGGCGAAATTAAAGCTTTGAATCTCGTCCGCCAAGATATCTTGTCTTCCAAGGTTGAAAAAAAGGGGACAAGTCAACGCAAGGGATAGCCGAAGACACACCTCTGCTCTCAGGGAGAGGTTCTTGATTACTATACAGAAACTGACGACTTACACTAGTCAGCTATGGACCACAAAGAAGCACAGAATGTCGAAACGACCCATTCTTGTTTACCCCCAGTGGAAAAGCACCGTACAGGTCACCTTGTCCTGGTCCCCCAGCCTAGCACGCGCCCCCGGGACCCTCTGGTATGGCAGAAGACCCTCGAGCATCATTGTCCCAAAAAAAGACTGACTAGATCCTTCCAGAACTGGCCTATTACTCGCAAATATGTAATACTGGCCGTGCTATGCCTTGCATCCTTCTCCGGCGCCATTGCCCCTTTATCGGGGCAGCTCAATCTGGCTGATCAGGAGAAACTATACAACAAGACGAAGCTGGAGGAGTCCTATGCTGTATGTCCGCCACTCTACTTTAACCGAGACTTTCACTCCGCACGGTTATCAAATCAAACATCATCCATCTAACATCCCCAGAATTCAGCCGCCCTAGCCGGCATGGCAGCGGGGCCATTCTTCTTCGCCCCGATATCGCACATGCTCGGTCGCAGCTCGGTGATCTTCTGGTGTGTGCTATTCACACTAGTATGCCAGATCTGGGGCGCTGTCATGACAGATCCTGGTGACTATATCCCATACGTGATCTCTCGGCTCTTTGCCGGCTTCTTCGGTGCTGTGCCTACAGTGCTTGGCCCTCGCATAGTAACCGATCTATTCTTCTTGCACCAGCGAGGTCGCGCTTTTACTGCTCTGCATATGGCTTTCTTGTTTGGAACGATTGCCGGTCCGACGTTCTCGGGTTTTGTTTCTGCGCACTCCTTTTTCCCTGTTGAGTTCTGGTGGACGGTCGGTCTGCTGGGGTTCTCACTTATCTGTTGTTTCTGTCTCCTTGAGGAAACTGGATTCGACCGTGAATGCTTTGAAAGGAACCCTGATGTCCCCGCTGAAATTTTGGCTAATAGATTCGCTACTTTCTTCTTTGGGCAGAGGGTTGTCTTGCCGACTACCTGGAAAGAGACGGTATGTTAAGGGTGCCCAATGTTCCATGCCATATCATAAGCACTAAACTAAATTCGCTCTAACCTCAATCGAACAGGCCAAAGTCGGAATCACCCCCTTTCTAATTGGCATGTGCCCTGTGACAATCATTATGGGAATATTCACACTAATTTCCTTTGGCTTCTACGTGGGTGTGAACGCACTCACGCCGGTATGGCTCCAGAAACCCATTTCGGAAGGTGGATACGGGTTCTCACTAGAACAAAACGCGGCATTCACGTTCTGCCATTGGATTGGCATCATCGTCGTCCAATTCTACGGCCACTATCTGAACGACCGGCTGCCGCTCGCACTGGCGCGACGGTACAACGGCGGTGTCTGGAAGCCCGAGTATCGACTGCATGTCCTGTGGCTTCCTAGTCTTGTGATCAACCCTATCGGCCTAGGGATCTTCGGTGCCGCTTTGCAGTATCATTTGCACTATATGGTGCTCGCGCTGGCAGTTTTTATTGTGACTGTTGGGTCGCTGGCCAGTGTTCCGGTCACGGTGAATTATGTTGTCGAGTGCTTTACGCGGTATCCGGCTGAGGCGGGTATTGTTATTGGTGCTTATCGCATTGCATATGGATTGACAATTAGCTTCTATATCAATCCTTGGGTTGAGGCTGTTGATGTTGGCTGGGTTTATGGTATGATGGCTTTCTTTGCGGTGTTCTCCTTCATGTTTGTTATGTTGCTCATGTGGAAGGGTCATGCTATTCGCAAGATTCAGTTTGCAAGTCTTGGATCTAGCGAGGAGGGCGAACGGTTGGTAGGCAGATAGTTGAATCGTCTACCAGATGGGCTTGAGATTCAGCAACGGGCCATTGTGCTTCAGTTGGTGACGCGGTTATTGATTGGCCGTGGCACCTATAATGAACATTTTATATTCGAACCTAGAGGCTTGCAAAGATGATGCTGGAATGAATCAAAGCCGTTGGGGAAAACAGACCTTGAATGAACATTAGACTATAGAGAGAAATATAGGACATGGGGAGCACACACAAGACCTCAGACAGCAATGCCTCTAACACAAGACATTCAAGTGAGAAGCTGAGATTGTTCGCTCAGATAGGTGCAAATTCTGTGTCTCACCTCCTTTTTCCTCTTTCATCTCTTCTATGCACTACATTGCGAGAACACGACGGCACTCTCTCCTCGACGGGACAACGTTGTTGTCTCGCAATCTACCACAACATGCAAGCCACCAAAGAAGCGTTTGCAAAATGCAAGGCCAAAAGCTGCGCTGCCTTGATCACCTACGTGCCGGCTGGCTTTCCCACTGTAAGTGAAACACCGGGCATCATGCCGTCTATGCAAGCCGGGGGTGCAGGTATGTATTATTCCAGTTCCTTCTCTTTCGTCAGACATTTAGCATCCTATATTTCCATCAGCTAATTATAACCCTTGACCAGACATCATCGAACTCGGGATTCCTTTCGCAGAACCCATGACCGAAGGCCCAACCATCCAGCAGGCCAATGCCAAGGCCCTCGAGAACGGTGTTCAATTTTCATACATCCTGCATATGGTCCAGTCAGCCAGTAGACTAGGTCTGCTATCCCGTGCTGCTAGGCAGGTACTGCGACCCTGTTCGCGCATATGCCTACGGAGAGGAGAAGCTACTTCGAGACTGCAAGGCTGCTGGTGTAGATGGGTTCATCGTCGTTGATCTCCCTTCAGAGGAGACGCCTCGGTTCTGTGTTCTGTGTAAATCCAAGGGGTCTGTATACCCTACCTTCTAGACTTACATTTGGATGCGGCTAATCAATATTCAAGGCTATCGTACATTCCCCTCGTTGCCTCTTCCACTCCGGAGGCTCACATAAAGATGCTTTGCGACATCGCCGACTCATTTGTTTGCGTCGCATCTCGGATAGGAGTTAGCGGAACCCATGAGAAGCCTTATGGATGTGTAGGAGACCTGCTCCATCGTGTGCATGCTTACGCTGGAAGCTCAGTCCCAGTAGCTCTCGGATTCGACGCACCGATCTTTTACAGAGATATTGAATCTCGCCCTTCGCTCACTTTATCAATACCCATGTTAAACGCCGTTTACTACGAGAAGTCCGAATTTATGCCCATCGAAAACCTCAAGACATTCGACCCCTTCGCCAAAGCCGACGGAGACACTGGCGGCGACAGAGAGCGCTGCGGTATTGACAATCGACAATATTTTGTCGATATTGCTCGTCTCGCTGAAGTAGTTGTCATCGGCAGCCCAATCATCCAGATACTGGGAAACACGGCTCCTGGAACTGGTGCTAAGAATGCCAAGGAGTATGGCATTAAAATTGCTGGACGTACCGAGGATCAAATTGTCATAACCGAAAGAAGACAGCAAGCTGCCCAACCCTTATCTTCCACTACTATCTACCTTTCCTACAATGGAGCAGATGATACACCCGAAGACACCGACAAGTCCACCAACCCCAGAGACACGACTACCCAATTGAGAACCTTCCGCGACCAATACGTCCCAGTATCCCTAATGGAAGGCCTCACCGAACTAAAAACCGGCTTCGAGGCAGCAAATGCAGACCCGCCCTTCTGGACCGAGGTAAACTCCTACCCAACATACGCCAACCGACCCTCCTCCCTCCACCTAGCCCCATGCAGGCGGAGCACGTATCTGGCTGAAACGCGAAGACCAAACCACACAGGCAGTCACAAGGTCAACAACCTCCTGGGCCAAATAATCCTCGCACGATGACTCGGCGAAACCTCCATAATCGCCGAAACGGGCGCTGGCCAACACGGCGTCGCAACAGCATCTCTCTGCGCACAATTTGGCATGAAATGCACCGTGTTCATGGGCTCCGACGACTTCCAACGCCAAGCTTTGACCGTCTTGCGCATGCGCATCCTCGGCGCAGAGGTCATCCCCGTTGATGCGCCGCGCGGAGGCGAAAAGGGTACACTCCGCGACGCAGTCAACGAGGCCTTCCGTGTCTGGGCGACGGAGCTGAAGACGACGCATTTCGTTATCGGCTCGGCGTTTGGCCCGCATCTATATCCGACTATAGTGCGCACATTCTAGAGTGTCATTGGCATGGAGACTCGAGTTCAGTTCGGCGCGATGAACGCTGGTAGACTGCCTGATGCGGTTGTTGCTTGTGTTGGTGGTGGGTTGAATGCTGTTGGTATTTTCTATCCCTTCCTGGGTGATGCATCTGTTGCTCTTGTTGGCGTTGAGGCGGGTGGTGATACATCTATGACGGGGCAGCACTCTGCTTCGCTGAATGCAGGGTCTGTTGGTATGTCGCCTGAGTTGCGGACTTATTTGCCTTCGGATGGACATTGGGAGGTTGGCAAGAAGGCATTTTGTCTCTGCTAGGCTTGATTATCCTGGTGTCGGTCCTGAGTTGTCGAGTTGGAAGGAATCTGGTCGGGTTACTTTTGTTGCGGCAAATGATTTGGATGCCCTGATGGCTTTTTCGTTGCTCTGTCAGCTTGAGGGAACAATGCCTGCACTTGAGAGTTCCAATGCTGTTGCTGGGGCTACGCGCTTTGCGAAGGAGTTGGGGCCTGGGCGGGATGTTGTTGTTGTGTGTCTCAGTGGACGTGGGGATAAGGATGTGCAAACTGTTGCTAATATTATGTCTACTCTTGGACTCCACGATGAGGTCTAATGGTTCTTTTGATTAGCTGGAACAGGAACAGTGTTGTGAATGCTGAATTATGAAGTCTTTTAACGTTTAACGATAAATCGGCTGAAAATGGCTACCCTGAACGCTAACCTGTAACAGTCTGTCTCTGGTAACCTATATGCCCCCGACGGTGTCTTGGCTCCTCAAACCTCGAATCGTTACACACAGTGGCGAACTACTTTTCTTCACGTAAGTCTACTCTTTATCTGGGTATATATACTCTACAATTTCATGAAAAATACGGAAACGTCAGTCGTCAGGGTCGAATTGTCAAGTTGTTAGCCAAATAACTACATGGCACCTGTCAAATATAGTAGCCTAATAAAACTTTCAGTATGAATATACTTTTTCCAATTATCCTATTAGCTGGGGCTTCCCGGGGGCAATTCCTCACTGCGTGCAGAATGCGGTGCTAGTGTCGGCTTATTTGAGCGAGATGAAGCACAAAACGCAGAAAAATCCGCATAGGATCACAAGCAAATGACCAGTACGAAGAGACACAGCGCGCAGGGCCGTTTTCACTATAGTTATTGATGCCTGAAAGCCTGAATTTGGATAGTGAAGTCGGCGATGACAACCCCGCCATCTCTGTTACTATGTCCGAGGAGAGTCCGTAGGACAACCCCGAGCTTTCGAACTCAATTCAGACACATAGACGTAAAACTACCCATTGGATTTCACGTGCTGCATGGCACCTTGGACTCAAACTGCTCTCGACCTTTTCGATGCCTTTTCGTCGGGATAGTCTTCCCATGGAAGTCGATCACACACATATAGGGGTTATCTTTGAGATTTCCATCACAGCATGCGAACATAGAGCACTATAGGAATTCCTCGCGCATTTTATCGGTGTCCACTTCAAACTTATCATAATTGTCGATATAAAGATCTTCACTAGTGGACTCACTTAAATCTAATTAGCTTATTAGGCATATTAGACCGTGATCTCCATCTTAAGTAGTCATACCTGGATCATATCGATAGTTTTCCTCCGTGTTGGCCGTGACATCGAATTCCTTCTCGTAATTGACGCAAAATGTGTAGCGTAGTACTTATCTCTTATTATTGTTAGAGCTCTCTTCGGTATCGGTAGCTGTCACTAGTAGTTAGCTCTCGGCCTCTTTACGAGCCTCGTCGTTTTTCGCACAGATGGATTTGAAAACCGCGCGTAGCATCTTATCGGACGCGTCGTTGACCGCGCGACCAAGGATTATGTCCTCGAGCATTTCCTTAGTAATTGGCATGATGGTCTATCTGTCTTATATTGGTTAGTTTGACTTCGTCGCTTCGTGCTTGAACAAAATGTCGAAAACCATGGTTGTCATGTGACCATTAGTACAAGCCATACCATACATACATTTTCTGAGGTCCCGAGGCCGCTTATTGTAATTAGTAGTCATGGACCGCACCCATGGACCCGAACAGACTGTCAAAATTGCGGATTTGTCATTTTGTTACGCAGAGAGTTTCAATACACTAATTTTGACCATACATTGTTGTACTACCAGATTTCTGTCACCAAATGTTAATTTAAATAGTGGTCGGATGGATAGGCTACTCTGCGCCAATTAACTAGTGCATAGGAGGAAAAGGACCAAAAAAAAATGGCCCGAGCCCGGGATTGAACCGGGGACCTCGCGCAGGTAATGCTCAGGTGTGGACCCTAAGCGCGAATCATACCACTAGACCACCCGGGCTTGTTATGATTGTTGATGCATTAGCCGATCAAAGAGGCTATTTTTGCGTTACGAGCCAAACAATTCGCACCATCGACCTTCTCGCTAAGCGAAGAACAAAGAAAGCAAACAAACAAAACAAATAACGATTTCATTTCTGGCATGTGGATGCAGATCGTGACAGTCCCTGTGTCATTGGTCTCTCCGGTCTTCCCACCAGCTTCAAGATCAGCGACAACGAAAACGTCTTGGGTTGTGGGAAATGATAGGATAGACGGCAATCTTAAACCGAGGATCTTGAAGTCAAACGGCACCTGCAAAGGGGCATACCTAGTGAGATGCCTAACTTTTCATGGTGCCGACAGAAAGCCCTGTGTCCATATATGTACTTAGCTTTGCATGTTCCAAATCAAATTTGGGCAATTACGTAGTTGTTACCTGTAGGCCTTTTCGACAAGTGAGATGACAACGGGTCTCACAACCTCGTCCATGATAAAGTTGGCAACACTCAAGACGATGTGAAATCGGATAAAATCCATCCACGGGGATCAATGATGTGCGCAGGATTCTCAAAAATATATGCAAAGAGTTGTTGTTTAATGAACTGCTTTTCAACGGATGGTGACACGAGAGTAGCCCCGTTTTTCCATTACAAGAAGTGTCAGGCTAGGTGATCCCAGCACATAACTGGGCCATGAAAGTGTTGCGATGTGTGGCTTCCAGACAGCTTCCATGCCTGACGCCAGCCCCTCCCCCTGTCAGGACCTGCTTCCTTGCTGGATAGATCAAGGTTCTCTCTTTTCGATAGTCATCTTGATCCCAGTCTTGGTGGATGACCGGTCTTGGGATAAGATATGCCTTATCTGGTCACACTCTTTTTCAGCCAGAGATTTTCTCCCATGAGCTTCACCACCAGAAAGTGTTCTAAAATGGCCGATAAGAACTTACTATGAGGCGAGAAATATGAAGTCTAGCAAACAGAGTGGAAAGAAAAGCTGGATGAAGTCAAAGGTAGTGATGATGTATCAGTGATGAAGATGTCAAAGGGTGGAGGTGTCAAAGGGAAGAAGATCACCCACATTTTGATTTACCAGCTCTCAAGTCAATCGACATGAAGCTTTTGATCCTATGCAAATCTATGCATCGCAATACTTTTAGAAAATTATGGGATCGAAAGCTTCACATGGTCAACCTTGCGACCCCAGCAGAACCCTGATAGCTATAACTACCGCTTCGTCTGCGCTGTAAATAGGTGGCCTGGATTTCTAATAGGACCGGGGCTAGAAGGCCCGCCAGAAATTGAAGGAAGATGACATACTGGAGTTCGCTTTCCTCAGCAGAGTGGTACTTGGTAGTAATTTCTATATCCTGAAGGCCTTCGGTCAAGGATAAAGTGATCTGAAGGCAAAGACGAGACAAGAAGGAGTGGTTCTCTACAAACAGAAGCTGACTAGTTCGTGAATAGTTACCTAGGTATAGATAGGTTCAGCCTGATAAACAAGGATCTGCAGGTGGCCTGCCCCAACATAAGATGTCGGGATGCACAGATCCAAGGTCTTTGGTATGTTGCTCGTCGAGAATTTCCCTAACCTGTTCAGACCTTCTATCGCCTGTAGATTGTTGTGATAGATCGTACGAATTGATTTATAGAACAGGCAGGTGCGATTTCCATGTTTTTATCATGGCTTTGGGGTATGGGGTAATGGAAAATGCGGGATGGACCTACCGGGCCGGTTTATATCGCTCTCAATTGGCAATTTACGTTATAGTCGATACAATTAGTTTAGTTAGTGGGTTTGTTTGCTCGTGGTCACCTCAGAAGCAAAGGGAACGTCAATTCTGTCCGATTACTCCGTACGGAGTACTCCGTACACCTAATCGAATTCCAACAGCTTAGCAATTTCTTAAACGGACCCGCAAAATCGTCCGCTTACATTCGCTCCTTCGGCCTCGTGGTGGAACCCGAGAAGTGTCCCGGCCCGGCCAAACGCGGGGTCCCCAGCCTGATCTTCCCCGTGGAGAAATTGTTTTGGGAAGTTCAACGCGATTGAATACTACAAATGGGTCAATTCTCCTAACGAGGTTGGGAATTGGCTCAATTCTAACCTCTAACACACTTCAGCCTCACAGCCTTTCCGAAATACAAGAAATGACCACCGACGAGGTCCCCAACATATACAACGCTTCCGGAACAGACAAGAAAGACATCGGTGCATTAAATCCGGAAGATTTCGCGAATCGAGATCTTGATACCGAAGAAAAACACAGCCATGGAGAATCTCATCAACTACCGGAGTTGCAGCGGAGGCTCAAAAGCCGACATTTGCAGATGATCGCGATGGGTAAGCATCCCAAATGCATTTCCTTTTTTAAAAAAATTTAATGTTCACACATCTCTATACAGGTGGTGCTATAGGAACGGGTCTTTTCATCGGTACCGGAACTGCAATTGCCACTTCGGGTCCAGTGGGTGCATTGCTTGCTTATACCTTTGTCGGATCAATTGTCTACTCGGTCATGACGGCCCTGGGTGAGGTCGCTACCTACCTACCTATTGCAGGAGCCTTTGCAGCATATGCAAATCGCATTATCGATCCCAGTCTGGGCTTCGCAATGGGGTGGATTTATTGGTTTTCGTGGGCTTCGACGTTTGCCCTTGAGTTAACAGCTACGGGCCTCATAATTCAGTTCTGGGATGATACGATCCCGATGGCGATCTTTATCGCTGTTTTCTGGGTTGTCATTATCATTCTGAATATGTTTCCCGTCAATTGTTACGGTGAGATTGAGTTTTGGCTCTCGAGTATCAAGCTCATCACCGTTGTCGGATTCATGATATTCGCCATTTGCATGAACGCCGGAGTGGGCCAAGAAGGTTATCTAGGATTCAGATACTGGGTCCACCCGGGTCCCTTTGTTCCTTATTTGATCGAGGGCCAAGATGCTTTGGCTAAGTTCATTGGATTCTGGGCTATTCTCATTAAAGCCGGATTTTCCTATCAAGGCACCGAGCTTGTTGGTATTGCCGCGGGTGAAACCGCCGATCCAAAGAAGAATGTGCCTTCCGCGATCCGCAAGACGTTCTTCCGAATTGTTTTTTTCTTTATATTCACGGTCTTCTTTATCGGAATTGTCGTACCGTCTAATGACGATCATCTTGCAGAAAGCGACGGTGCGGATGCAAACTCGTCTCCTTTCGTTATAGCCGCCCGACGAGCTGGTGTTAATGCGTTACCCAGTATTATTAACGCAGTTCTCCTCACCGTCGTGCTTTCTGCTGCCAATTCAAATGTTTATAGCGGCAGCCGAATTCTCGTCGGGCTGGCTAACGAGGGTTTTGCTCCTCCCTTTTTTGCCAAAACAACTAAGCACGGTGTACCCTATGGTAGCGTTGGCTTCACAGCTGTTTTCGGTCTATTGGGCTTCCTTAACCTGTCAAATACGGGTGCCACGGTTTTCAACTGGTTGATGCAAATTGCTGGCTTGGCTGGCTTTATCACTTGGGCATCTCTGAACATCATCCACCTCGCATTTATGAGAGCGTTAAAAGCCCGAGGTATATCACGCGACACCCTTCCTTATAAGGCTACCTGGCAGCCATTTTTTTCTTGGTATGGCTTGTTCTTCAACGTCCTCATCATTATCACCCAAGGCTTTACTGCCTTCATCCCAACATTCAGTGTCACGGACTTTTTCATCAACTACCTCAGTCTCATATTGTTTGCAGTACTATATTTTGGCCACAAGATTGCTTTCCGCACAGAATTCGTGAAGCCAATTGAGGCTAATATTGACACTGGTCGATATGAAGACTGAGGCAAAAGTCCCCCGCGGTCAATGTGCAGCCAAGGAAGTTGTAAATAACTTTTGTCAAGTGCTTGATAGCGAGAATGCATTTAGTTTTGTTCCTCCTCTCTTCCTTCTTTGCCTTGGTCCTCTGTCGATAGCAATGTACATTCCCAAGGATGGATTGTACATATTGATTCGTAGCTTCTTGCTTTCCGTGGAATTTCACCATGACATCAGTAGCCTTGGGGGATACATGGACTTTAGTCCTGTATTCAGCAAAGAATGCCACATTATCCAGCTCATCGAAATTGAAGGGGGCTGTCAAACCAATCTCCCATATTTAACTCGGAAACTCGAGAGGTGAAATCGACCCAGACTAGACGCGTTCCTATTCTCCCGGTTCCGACCAGCACTGCAGCTGTCTGACGTCGAGAGCAGACAGGAACCCGTGTCAAGATTGGGTTGGTAACGACTAGGCAATCCGGGGATTCTGGGTGTTCGAATTAACGGAGGCAAAGAGTCTTATTGCTAGTCGAAGCGACATCTTTAGAGAGCATTTATATCCCCACATCTTTCGAGATTGATCTCCTGGCAGGTCTTGTCACCAACTATGGCCCTATCCATTTTTGCTCTTGTTCGATTATCGCGTGATCTGCGACGGTGGAAAGAAAATGGCATCTCCGGTGTTTGATCGTGCTGTCTGAATTTAAGGATAAAGGATCGTTCTCGAGGGTTTATTTATGCTTTCGGTCTAATAAAATTCATCCATAGTGATGTCAGCTCACACCTCCGACACCTAAAAGGTTGGGTGATGACTTAATCTTCCAGTAGCCTCTTCAAGTAATTACCTAGGTAGAATTCTAGTCTCTCGACAAGACATCTGTCTTCACTTAACAATAGTATCTTAGAGTCTTAACTCAGTGATCTTAGAGAGGTACACAGACCCTTTACAGGGTACCGATATAGCCCACACGCCCCTATATCCCTCATACCGCCTAAAACCAGATTTGAGCCAGAATACAGCCTTTCTTTTTCAGCAGATATCTAGACGCTCGCGTGTTCTATATGGGCAATACTCGGCTAGCGCCCCTTATTCGAGGATATGCTTGCCACACCGGACGATATCGTAGCCGAGCAGGTTGATACTCTAGGGAAATTACCCCTACGGTAGTGGGAGAAATAGGAGGCACGCTACGAATATTTCGGTAAAAGTGGAAAACCAACGAAAATCCAAGAACACTCAAATTGCTTTACTCATGGGAGCAGTGGCACTGAGAGAGCCCCTTCAGCGATCAACCACGCATTACACTGGAAAGCGTTTGGATGAGCGCATTGGAAGCAAGGCCGCAAATGTTGAATCAGTTCTGATTCAGATTGTGGGAGAAGTTTCACAGCAGGATATTTACTACGGCGGGTTAGCTTATTTCAGGCATAGGAAAGATATAGATTTAGCAGTCCTTAAAAGGCTGATATCTATTAAAGAAATCGGGTATAGTTCTCAAAGAGATACCATTGAAAAGTGATCAAAAACTAATAGATAAGTGAGAAAGATAGCACTCAGCAAATATAAGATACTATTCTTTGATGAAATCATGGGATATAGCACTTTATAAGATGCTATTCCTAATAGGAAATATTCAGATTTTAATGGATATCTGATAACCTTGATAAAGATGATATATAGCACCTCCAGTGCTATTCCTATAAAGATGATCAAATTTTATAGGATATTTGATGAGCCTTGATGAAATTCAGGGGTAAAAAGAGGGCGTCATAACCTGTTCGGGCTACGAGAACTGAGCGACTAAGCAACTAGGGGAAAATCAAGAAGAAGAAGAAGAAGAAGCTGCTACATCAATCTATCAAACTTTTATAAAGGCCACAAAGAGCAAACTAGAAAGGCTCAGTCTGAAAAACCAGGCATCCATGCATGGTGGATGGGATTATCCAACAGAAGCGTTCTGACTTCTACCAATACCCGCTAGTCCCAGATACTCCCCGCGGCCACCAGCGCGCCCGGTCTTCCCAGTCATCGATCAACTTCCTAGAGTTCATCTGAGTGTACGCACAGATAAGGCCGATGCCGGCCTAGCTGTCACCGGAAATCTGGAGCAGACTATTGGCCAGGTGCAGGCCGAGATTGGCTTTGACGATACCTGAAACGCGGCAATCCATCAAGCGATGCGCGCTGAGAACTTTGCCGAGCTGATCGTCCCGGCTCGGGCATCAATCCCAACTACAACACCCGAGCAGCACAAAATCCAGTGTGATAACATTCTCAGAATGGTCGCTACTGTGAAGGATTATTTGACCAACATCTCTCTCACTGCCACTGCTCCCATGAGTAAAGCGATTTGAGAGTTCTTCGACTTTCGTTGGGCTGCTGTAAGTGTCCGTCCCACTGCATCGATGCGCCATCATGACTGACCACACGACAGATCGTGCCCGAATGCCACCTCCGCCAATTCCGCAGTCGTCTCGCCGTCCATCGTCTTCTATACATTCTGGATCTATCGAGTTAGTGCGCGATTCTCACCCGCTCTCACCAGCTTCTCACCCTAGGTATATAGTGCACTCCTCTGTCACCAAACATAATACATTTGATAGTTCTCTCCCACACATAACCTGATACATACGACCATAGGGTGTGGAAAACAGGGCTTCCCGTCCGCTCAGCCGTACTCAAGCCACACGCCGGTGAGTTAGTAGTTGGGTGGGTGACCACCAGCGAATCCTCACTGTTGTATGTTTTTGTTTTGTTTTTTGTTTTTAGCTGATTTAGCTCAAGAGTAGTAGATAAGTGGGAGGGAGCGGTGTTGGTTGTTGGTGTTAATGGCATCAGAATGAACAGTCTGGCCACTTGTGTCGCTTCTGTCTTTGACAATGACAACGTAAAATATCAAGGATTTTAATCTTACTATATGATAAACAACCCAAAACATATTTAGTTATATTTAACAGTTAGGGAAAATCTGACGCGTAAAACTTAGATAGTGCAGGTATAGTTCTCCGTAGTGTTCGCTGCGTCTGTCCGTAGCGCTATTAAAGACGTTCAGAAAAAAAGGACAAGACAGCCCAAGCTTCGAAGACGTCATTGAAAGGTGTCATATCCGGCAAGGGAGTTGGACCGAGACTATGTCAGAGAGCATAGGAATACCCGAGGAACGGCTCAAAGTCCGTAAAACATCCGCGCATAGCCGGCCAGTTACTAGTGTCCATCGGCTATACATAGTGGCTTTCACAAAGTACGTGCTGGTGGTCCCATCCCCCATGCATGGATACCTGGTTTTTCAGACTGAGCCCTTCTTGTTTGCTCTTTGTGCCCTTTATAAAAGGCCCCTCTTTTGCTAGATTGAATGCAGAGCTTCTTCTTCTTGATTTTCTCCCAGTTGCTCAGTTTCCCCGTAGCCTCAAAAGTATAGCACTACATCGAAAAGAACCGAGTGAAGGCTAACAAAACAGCCATAAAGGCAGATCAATTAATCCCAAAGAATTGCAGTTTGCAAGATAAGTGCAACGCCTAGGCTATCGTAAACGTATCTCCAAAAACATACCTCAACCTTTTCAAAGGTCGGAAAACGAGGCACAAAACACATAAAAGCCGACACGGGAAGAAATAAATCGAAGTCGAAAAACCCGGCCACGCTGCCAGGCTTCCGTGCCATCCCAAGATCCGCTCGAAACAAGACCAAAACCAATAGAGAAAAAGAGAAAACCATTTGACGGGGGTTTCACGGCCACCTTGGCTGGAAACCGCGAGGAACGCCTTACACGCATATTGAGCAGCATAACCCAAAAAAAGAAACAAAGAAAAGAAAAGTAAACAATAGTAAGCACAGGAACCAAAAAAAAAACAAAAAAAAAAACAAAGACGATGTCGCGCGCACTGGGTATAGGTGATAATCAAT